CCAGTAGAGGCGGAGTGACCAGTAGTAGTCAGACCCCTACTCCAGTCGAAAAGGAGGCCCCATTTCAAAACACGTAGAAGTCTTGAAAATAAAAATAGGATAATGGGTCCTGACAGGATTTTAAAACCTAGAATTACTATGCTGGAGAGGACCATCAGCAAAATAACAGACCGACCGATTACTTAATCATTTACCCATATGCCACTTTATTGTCCGTTGCCATACATTGGCCTGACTGATCCTGCCGTTTCGTGTTTAACAGGTCGTGGAAGGAAAAGCAGGGGTCATCACGGAGGTCACGGTGGAGGCCATCATGGGGGGAAGAAAGGGGGCAAGGGAGGCAAGAAGATGCTGATGGCAATGAAGAAGATGATGGGTCTAATGATGATGGGCAAATTTGGGATGATGGTACCCATGATGCTCGGATCTGCCAAGCTGATGGCGGCCAAGGGGATGATGGTTGGAATGACGTCACTTTTGATATCCATTATTGTCAAAGTTATGGGGTTGATGGGGAGTGGAAAGAAATCAGGTGGGGTAGGTAAAATGAAAATGGGTGGAGGACCCTATCCTCCAAGTGGTGTGCCTGCTGGTGGAGGTGGCTGTGGGGGTTGTGGTGGTGTCAGCAATACTTATGGCCCCCCTTCTGGAGGGGGATGTGGAGTTAGTGGCTGTGGTGGGGGCAGTATAACAATGCCAAGCAACAGTTACGGAGCACCATTTAATAGGGCCGAAAGTGGATTTGCTGGAGGGATAAGTGACATTTACGGAGCACGAGGTGAGGGTGGAGGAAACAGTGATTCTTATGGCGCACATTCGGATAGTGGTGTAGTTACAAATAACCTGTACGGCGCACCGAACTGGTCTAAGAGAAGTTCATCTGTCAACCACCAAGAAGCATTACTCCACCAAAACAATAACACGGAAGGGCAATAGGGAAGAAAGGAGCCATAGATGTGTATTGTGAAAGATTTTTATCTCAATTCATTTTTCATCACTGACCCACTGGCATACTTTGACGACTGCGGCACGTCTATCCCTCTGAAGATATTAATTACTCTGACGGCTGTGAGAAGTCGCCGGATTAAGGTCGAAATAGTTTACTTATTCAA